TTTCACAATTTTGTTGAAGGTTGTGCTCAATCTTCTTCATTATCACCTCAACTTTTTTATTTTTCCAATTTGTTTTCTTTCCACTATCATTTGATGTATGTCAGGATTTTCAATATTATTAAATTTTCTTTTCAACTTCCACCCACATCTATTTCTTTTATTTATTTTTCATTCCTTTTGAAATGACTTTTAAACTCACTTTATTTCATTTTCAATACACCCAAAATATATCAACAAAGCTTCTTTAATGTGGTAATTACATATTCAATTGGTGACTGGGCAACCTGCAATTAACTCCTTGGGAATACACTTGAGACCATCTTGCATCATAAAATACATGGCTAGGAAAGTGGGCTTGCAACCATTGAGCAGGTTTGAGTGGTATGTGTGGTGTATAGATTAGTTTAGGCTACCCATACTACCATATTAGTTATTTCCACTTCCAACTGCCAAATGTAATAAGGTATATTATTATGGGTAGACGATCCCAAATCTGGAAACTCCAAAACTGGAATGTTCCAGAAACCGGCTATTCTAGTGAACACTCCCCATTAGCTTAGAGAAATTCCTTATACCCAGACTTTTACTGGTTACTGATGCAAACTTTCGATTTGAAATGGCTGAAAACTGCACTAAAAAATACTGTAAAAAAAGGTAAATACAAATAAGTAAGTAAAATTTTCTTTTAGGCTTAATTTTAGATTAATTAATGGCATAGCCACTTTGTTTAGGGGTGTGTGGCAAGTAAATGCAGTACATGCAGTCTCAGTTCAAACCTGCCCTTTGGTTGTACAGCCCTCTCTCTGTGTTAACTTGAATTTTTACCACTTTGTTCATCCTGAAAATTTCTAAAAGGCAAATAAATAACCTTTATGTTTGTATTTCATACTTTATTTACATCATCTATACTTGCCAGGCTGAATGACCCCAAAAATGGAAAATTCCAAAATCCAGCATGGCTCAGATCCCAATCAGTCTGGGTTTAGGATCGAGTGCCTGTATATAAACCCAAAGTACAATTACTGATATTGTCTGTTTCCATTGTGTTGTCACCCCTCTTAGCATAACCACAAGAGCATGGGTTGCTTCACCTCTATAACCTGACAAGGTGATATCTTGATGTTCCTGTACACGTTCCTGGAGAGTGACATCTCATCAAGAGTTAGACAGCATTCTTTTTCTGTAATTTTCATTGATCTTACTTTCAACTGTAGAAAGTTGAACACCTCATCAAGAATACCTGGTTCCATAGAAATGATTTTAAGCTTCCTCCTCCTGAGTTATCTCACTGATGGCAGGGGTTGATTCTGAGAAAGAAGTTACTCATAACCTGCTGCCCCACAAGCAAAATATAGCTGAAGGCCTTTCTTTACAGTCTTGTTTAACCATTTAACACCATGAGTGATCACACAATTCAACTTTGAGTTGTTCGGGATTAGAGACGTTTGTTATATTTCCCTCAAGTTTTTTTCTGTCCAAGCAGCTTTCTTTTCTGTCTCAACTCCTTGGCCATTTATGCTGTTGTTTGATGCTCTTTTGCAACAGAGTTATTTCATTTTTATTGTATAAGTTCCCAACAGCACTTATTGAGTCATGCAATGGTGTGGTAGCATCATGTAAGTCAGAATGCCTGGCTTGCTAATCAACATCAGAAAGATACTCATCTACACTCTTATTCGATGTTGAGGAACCCACTTTGAGACTAATAATAGTTGGAGATGGCTTGAATGGGTAATGAAGAAAAACTTTAATACAAGTTTAACACAACAGCAAATGTACAACGTTTCGACAAGGTTTTGTCATCATCGGTCATCTACACTCTGACCATCTTCACCTAATATGAAATGAAAAAGAAAAATGGTTAGATGCATAAATAGTAATGGGTTGGTAGAATTCATCTACTTCTCAAATTACTTTAACTTACATTGCAATCCTCTTATTCATTTTTATTTTTTGATATGGAAATTAATTGTACTCCAACTTTTCCCTCCGTTGAAGAGTGTTTTAACCAGAGGAAAAAAGGAGTTAATTTCCCTCATGCTTCAGATATTATTTCTGACAGTCAAGGATACATATACTAGCATTTCAGCATTCTAACATATCTAAATGGCAGCACAAACTCTTTGTCTGTAAAGAGGTAGGGGGGTGGTACCTCACATCTACCATAACTCATCTCTTAAGAGGATGTTTACAGCATTTTACTATCTGAGTAGATATGAAGGCAAACTGTGTTGGCAACATGTTTGGTTTGAGCTTCTTGAGATTATCAGCTCTCCCAGTTTCACACTGAGCCTCATCAAAATGGTCTTACAAGGATTCACATACTTACGTAAATATCAAACAAAGATTTTAAATAATAGAGGTATAATATCTAATTTAGTATAAAAACATATAAAAACAAAGAAAAGGTTAGGCCTACTCACCAAATGCCAAAAAGTTATTGTTTGCTTTCTAGTTTTCACAACAAATTTTCATTTTCCATTTTCATCTGCATTCTGGATCTCAAGGGAACATATGCATCATCTTTCCACAGCCAGATCGGTTGGAACAGCGCCAAGCTGAATAGCATGGCATTTTATCAACAGGATTTACACAAATTGCAAGTCAGACATGACTATGGCATCCACTAAACTGAGTAACAACATGGCATCTAGCTGTCACATGAGCTCATTCTATCCAATTATACACTTAGTCAATTGAAACCAGGTTGACCAAACACACTTTATTTATGGCTGATTGTGGCTATTATAATAAACATACAGTGCAATAAAATGTTTAAAATTAAGAAATGAAAATATGTACATACCTTATAGTTCTTCATCAAATAATCATAAAATATCTTTTTTGGATTTCATGCATAATTTCACATCTTTAATGTTTTATTTTCCTTTCATGTTCTTTACCATTTATTATTCACCTCGATACACATCAACAGGTGCCCACAGCCAATATAACAGTATCATCAGCAAAGATACTTTACCCTCTGACAAAATGTTTTTGCTCTCACTTAGTAACATAAGCCTCGCAGAGCAAGGTGAAGTTTGGGTTATATTTAAAAAATGATTAAAGCTTTCAAATATGAATTTTAAAACATATATCTTATTACAATGGAGCCTGTGATGTATAAATCCAAAACTTGGATCTTGGAAACTATGGCACCAATCATAACTGGGTAATATTTTTATAACTAGGCAATATTTTTATAGCTGAGCAATAAATAAAACAATTGAAATTTCCACAAAAATCATATGTTTCATTTTCAACCAATAAAAATTACAAAAAAGGAGTAAGTTTCAAATATAAAACAATCAAAAGACAAACTTTAAAATATTGTTTCTTAGTGAAATCTCATGAGTGTTGCAACAGAAAAGCAAGGCACTTTCATTGATAACTGCATCTACAAAAAACATACTTCAATAAAATCTACTCTATGATGTAATGCTGTGATGATAGCTCATTTTTAAACTAAAATTTCAAAAATCCTTTTGCTCATGGATGATGAACATTATTGAATGACGAGTATGATTACATTGTTGTAGAACTGCCAGACAATTCCAAAAAAGGCCATAGTAGTAAAACCTAAATACAATTTTACTGCCTATCAAACTAATGTGTATCAAGGTGAGAAAAAAACACTAAGTGCCAGCAAGTACAAAACTACTACAATTCTAAGAAGTGGTTTGACACACTTGTTACCAAATACTGCATGTCAGTTTGAAAATAACCATTGAGAAATTGTATCTTAAGATTAGCTCTTTCTATGTTAGAAACACATACTTCAAATAAATAGATGTGGCTTGGAATTATCATTTCTGTATAGACGTTAGGCATGGGTACTGTCAGGAAGTTAAAATATCTATTTCTTTGTTCTTTGAATTAACCCAAAAGAATTTGAAACAAGTGATTGGTAAATAGCACTGTACAAGTAGTTTTGAGTCTAGACATACATGTACAGTGTAATATTCAAGTAACAGAGACAAAAACTTAAGAACTGTGAACACCCATGCGTTACATGACAATAAAACTGGAGATTAACTATTTTTTAAAGGTTTATTTGAAATAGAGGAAGTAAAACATAAATGAATTATGATGTACAGGACAACATTAATTTCATTAAAATACATTGAGTGTAAAGTGGTTTAATTAAATTTTAAATGTAACTCAGTAAAACCTTGTGATGTGCAAAGAAAGGAGCTTAATTAAAGAGTGCAAAGTAATCCAAGAGTTAATTAAAGTTTATACTTCAAAAAACACATCAATGCACAGAACTACTAAAGAAAAGAATGAAGTTAATTTTGAGTATAAATCCTTAAATAGATCTATTGTGCATAGAGGATGTGTTGCCCTCCTGTTCATGGAAGGCTATTGTCACATGATGATTACATCATGCAGAAGCTAAGTTTACGTTAATATGTGTCTTAGGTGGAAAATAGCTCAAGGCTAGTAGCATGCAGAAAATCTCAAAGGCAGACATGCAAGAAATAGCTATTATGTGAAGAGAGATAAGGATATCATTTTAGATCTCTGCAGTACTCTTATTACAATTTAAATCCTATTAACATTAGATGAAACTTTTGGTACTGGAAACTCTTGTACAGTAATAACAGTTTACATCCTGTAAACATTAGTGGAAATATCTATGGTAGTACTATTATTAATCATAATCTGTAAATATACAGACATTATAAATGGAATAATCTTGAGTGAAAATCTTTAGTTTTAATATTAGTTATAAACTATAAATATACAGAAGTCATACTTAATGAGAAAAACTGTTATTTATTTTGAACTTTCAGGTATCATACCAACAGAAAAATCCAGTGGTAAAAAATTTCTTACTATCATTAGAGGTGAAAACTGTAAATGTAGAGATGTCATTTCAAGGAGTAAGTCATTCCAACTGACTATAGCTTGATGTCTCATTATTTAATCAACTTACTCACTCATATTCTTGGCTACAGTCACATAAATTTTAAATTATAATTATGATATTATCTTACCTGGTTGTTTTTTTCCAATTTTATACCTGATTCTACAATCTCTTCAGTTATTGCAGTGCTGATCATACAGTCAAAATTCCTTAATACCTGTGCAAACAATATTCAAAGATTCACATTTACAATTAAATTATTACAATTAGAGTTTAGAAGACTAACTGGCTATTACATTCTCTCATGAGCAACTCTAACTAGCTTCAATGTGAACTTTAGCATCAAACTTACAAAAGCCTAATGAGCACACCAAATCCACCAATGAACAGTTCAAAATAGGGCTTAAAAATTAACCAAAGAAGTTATCAATGAGAAACTGGACCTGTGAAGGATATGAACAAATAACACAACTAGAATCAATAAGAACTTAGCCAAAGAAATTGCAAAGTCAAACCGTCTTTCAG